AAGGGCTCCACTCCAGCCAGGCGGTACCCTCACAGATCCTCCTCACAGAAGCATCCTTGGCATTTAGAATGCAGAAAGGATCTTGCAAAGAGGCCACGGGGTCCAACCTCTTAATTTATAATAAGAAAAACAAAAAGCTCAGATTAAGTAAGAGACTTAGGATATACATCTGCTTGGTTTAAAAATAAATTTTGAAAAAAGAAAACTTTGAATCTCTGACCTTGCAATTCAGGTTGCCTGCTTTCCAGGAAGAAAGGGATTTTCTCCACAGCTAGATTGAAATATGATGCGCCTCGTCAAACAGAGAAGATGGTTATCACCTTGCTTTTGATAAGTGGCAAATGGGGAAAGGAATAGCAAAACACCTTGTCCAAAAAGAAAGAAGGGCAGGTAAGTAACAGGTTCAGTGACAGAGTTCTCACAAAAGTTTGGTCCAAAGTTCACAGGAGACCTGTTAGGATAAGCATGTCCTCATCTGACAAAGAGAGCGCAATGAGAAATGTGAGTGTCGCTGACACAGTGTTGGCATTTCCCACGCCCGGCGGAAGCGTGTCACCGGACAAACGTGGGTAAGACTCGTGGCACCACCACATACAGTGGGCAATCAGAGCATGGACAAGCAATCCTCTGCGGGACGTGCCTGCCACGGCCCGCCAGTTCTGCTCATGTGAACCAGCACAGAGCTGGGATTGTTACTCCTCAGCCTGAGCCTCTCACCGTGTGCACAGAAGATTTAGTGGCAATAAATCCACGTTGGCCAAGCGATTGCGGATTTACCACGAGCAGAAAGAATTCTTTTTACCTATAGCAACTTTGTAGGCTGCACATGCTCCCCAGATGCCTCTCCTTAAATGTTCTTTATTAAAACGGAATGTACTGAGATAATGTCTCTTGGAAAGCTCTCCAGCCGAGCTCAGATCCCGGGGAATGCCCGGAGAACTGCTCTTGCATCTGGGTAGAATCCAGGGTGCCTTGAGGAATCTCCCTTCCTCTCGGGCCTTCGAAAACGTGTCTTTCCCAGCTCTGAAGCAGAGACTTGACTCATTCATAACCACTGACAAGGTCATCTCTGTCCTGGGGCTCCCCAGCACTTCTCCCGCAGCATATCCCCATCTTAATGTCTTCCCCATCTGATGGCCTGTGAGGGCCACCGGAAAAGTGTCCCAGCTATGCTTAACTCCATTTGAATGTTAAAGCCACAGTACTCAAGATGCACACTGACTTGAACAATAAACAACAAGCTGTCTCAAGTCAAAATAGAAAAAAATAAGGCTTGGACAACCTGATCCCAGAGTGAGATGCAGTCAGAGCACAGATGACAGCATCAAGAATCGGGCGACAAAAGGACAGTGCAATTCAAAGTGTGAAAGGCAGTTGGAAATGCCCTGGAAGTCAAGCAAGAAAGCAGACATCCTCCGTTTGTGGACTGCCAGCAGGGACCGCCGAGACGGAGAGATGGCAAACTGTGCTGCTCTCCCTCCCTCTGCAGGATGATCCTGTGGGGAAGCAGGAAAAGGGGCGGCCGGTGGAGGGGCACGGCCACACGTCACAAGGATGCGCTGTGTCACAGAGAGAGTTTGGCAGTGAAATGAGCCTGTGAAATTCTCTGGGTGGATGTGTAAAGAATGAAAACCACAGGCCAAGCTGCAGCGGGATGTTCGTCTTGGCCTTGGCGCTGGCAGGAAGCAAGAGGACAAATTACTGAGGTGCTGGAGGGACCCACCCCCCCACCCCCCCGCAGAAACACAGACGCCATGGACTGAATTCAAGGTTGTAAAGTCAAGAGACTGGCGCTGGAAGGCACAGGGCTGTCCTCCGGGCTCTCGCCTTCGTCTTCCCCGTGCCCTGCAGAAAGGCAAGGGCGAGAAGAGACTCAGGGCCTCCTTGGAGAAGACAGAGACCCAGCTGAGTAAAACAAATGATGAGGCTCTCAAATCCTAAGAAGGGGCTTTGATGTCGAATGCAATGGACTCAGTGCAAGGAAGAAATAAAAATGTGGTCTTCTGGAAACATCCCTGGACTGCGAGCTTTTGAAAAATAAAGGTGGCATCATTGTCGCTTTTGTAGGCCCCTGCTGTGCCTGGCTTACGGTTCAGGCCCTGTGAGGACCTGCTGAATCGAGTGCAGTCGCAGGATGCTGGGTGTGGGTCTTAGAGATCAGCCGCCGAGGGTTGGAATCTGTCTTTGCACTCACTAGCTGATGGCCTTGAGCAAGCCTGTTCCTCTCTCTGAGCCTCAACTGTCTCATGTTCCAAGTAACAACAGAGTCCTCTGCACAGAGCTGTGATGAGGATGACATATAGCCTTTTGTTTACAGTGGTGGCACATTGCCTGGCAGACAGAAAACTCCACAAAAGGGAGCCTCATCCTCTTTATCTTCCTCATTGTCATCCTCTCCTCATTCTCCCTCAAGTCTGCCATGGACACATTTCCAGGCAGGGGCTGATATTTCTCTCCCACCTGTCCCTTCTGTAACCACAGCAGGAATCATCAAGGACGCTCCATCTCTCCCACTGAGCTCTAGAAGGAACTTCCTCTCCTCCAAGATAATGTCTGAAGTGTCCATCCTTTCTCCCTGCCCTTGCCTTGCTCGCTCTCCCTGCTACATACTGCACAGCTGCCTGGGAGCCTTGCCCCTTGTGCCCACACCCACTAGGGGACATGACTAGCAGTGAAGGGGAAGGGAAGAGAGGAAAAGCTCCAGGAAGGGTAAGCACAACACCAGTCCCTCTGCCACCGGCATGGCAGAGCCTCCCTCACCTCAGCCTTTCGCCTCAGCTCTTCACTCCCACACGCCCATCCACTCCCAGGAGGAACGGCCCAGAAGTCGGTCGGATCTGGGTTTTCCCAGAACCAGCCCTACGTGCAACTTCAGGCCTTCACGTCTCCAGAAGCCTAGTGCTATCCTTCAGGTAGCGTTTCTCCTTCCTTAGGGGCGTCTAAGTGAACGAGAGAAGCACGTGGGTGGAGGAGAAGGTTTCTCAGGCCTTGACTGTTTCCTGCTTGTGTTGGAGGCACAAACCCTAGTGAGCAGAGTCCGTCTCCTCGGGGAGGAGAGAGTAGCAAGTGTGGGGCTGGCTTTGCTTTCTCCTCACCTCAGAGTGGGGGCATGCCGTGTCAAGGGCACCTGTCTGTGCAAAGAGGAGCAGGCGGCTCCTCGAGGAGAAGGGAGAGCAGAAGACCATGCTGAGCGGGGCCTTCGCTTCAGCAGGATTCTCCTCACCCCGCCCCACCCACCACTGCCTCTGCCCCACTGGAGTTCCCACCCGAAACCCTTGGACTCGCCACTCGTGGCTTCCCGGCCGACTGAGTCCCCAGTCTCACTGCCGAGTCAGGTGCCTCCTGAAGGAGAGAGAGGAGGCTGCTCATCCCACGTCCTGGGCCCAGGGGGGCAGGCCATGGGGCAACAAATATGTCCCTGTTGCCCAGGCTGAACTCAGGAGCATATTTGCCAAAGAGAATTTGGGAGCCACGGTAACCGGGCCCAATACCAGGATCCCGAGAGTCTGGAAACCCAAGCCTGACGCAGCACGCACTCCTGAAAACAAAGAAAACCTAGAACTGCATGCGATATCGTGCGTTCTATTCTGCTGATTACTGTAACTTAATCACATGGAGAAGAGGACCAGTCCACGGAGTCTGGGAAGACAAAGACAGGAGGGGAGATCGCCGCTTATGAAAGAAGCTGGCACAGTCGCAAAGACACTTCTGTCCTAAGAATCAGAGACGCACAGACATTGATGTAAAAGAAGATCAAGAGAACATTGCTTATAGGAGAGAAAACCTGGAAACAGCCTAAAAATTTACCAATAGGGGCACCACCAAGTGAGTCTCGATATAGCCAAACAGTGGGGTATTATTCAGTCAGTACCGTGGAAAAATGCTTAACAGCACGAAGAAATGCTCAGAGTGTGTTGATAAAGTAAACGGAGCTATATAATTAGTGTGATCCCAATGATGTAAATACACCCACATAAGAAAAGACTGGAAAGACACAGAAAGACGCTAACAGTGATTATCTCTAGGCCAGGGGATGGGCTGATTTTTTTTCACCTTTATATTCTTGTGCATTTTAAAATTTTCTTGGGATTAGCACATTTATTTTTTTCAATTATAAGTGCATTTTGATTTTTAATTAAATAATTAGAAAATAAAGGTTTTTAAAAAGAGAGAGAAAAGCCCCCTTATTGATGACCAAACAGGGCGTGGTTGCTTTCTTCCCTCAACCTCTAACCTGCCCAGAAAATAGGGTCAAGTCATCTAATCCCCTCTGTCAAAATAAACAGCATTGACTTACGGTTTGGGGGAGATTTTTGTACTTTATTTTTAAGGTTTGTATTTGAATTCTGTTGTCACAAGGAAAATCCATGATTTCCTCCACAGAGGGAGAGTTAGCACCCAGGTTATTTCTAAACCTCCTTCACCCCATCCATTCCTCCAAGGGGAACCCCAGTGAGGAGCCACTGAGCTGATCACTGTGGCCTCTCTGTCCTTCTCTGTGCGTTGCCCCCAGAAAAGACCAAAGAAAGGCAAGCCTTCAGCATAGGAGATGTGGAGGTGTCACAGGAGATATCTACACTGGGTCTCCTGAGTTTTTCAAACTTGAGTTCATCAAGGTGCAGTGTCCAGACTTCAGTTTTGTGAGCCTCAGAAACTCTGAAAATGGATCCATCTCCACGGAGAGCAGATGAAGATGCAGACGGGCAGAGGTGGCACAGGGCGATAGACAGGGCTTAGAAGGCTGCGATCATTTTTGGATGACCTCTACTTGTCCCTCCTCCCGCCTTGACTTTTGTTCCCTCCCCACACCCCCACCAAACAACCCCACCACCACCATGCCCCCCACCCCCAGCCAAAGTGGCTGTAATTTTCGCTGTCTTGTCATAAGTTACCTAAAAGTCTGTTGCTACTGGGAAATGCCAGTCTTAGGGACCTCTCTCTGCAAGAGGGGCCCTCAACATCCAGACTGCACTTGGACAGCTAACACGAATGCTGTGTTCACGTGCAGTTGTGCCTTTTCCAGGGCAGGCGCTGAGAGTACATCTGTAGCCTCGAGAAAGTCCCCTCAGGCATCTGGACGTTGGAGTCCGTGAGCAGCAAACTCTTCAGGAAGCAGACAATTCCAGAACCCTGAGGGATCGCAGCAGTGAATTACCATAGCAGACACTCTTTAAGTTTCCTTTTTTCAGCCTGCAAGGAACAAAAAAAGTTGTTTAATCCCTGTCCTCCTCTCTCTGCCCTGGCGTTCTTAGCCCCCTCACCTACCTCCCCCATTGCGATACCAGGAAAGCACAGAACCCCTAGTGAAACCGGAGTTTCAGAGCTGTTATGAGTACCGTTTCAGTATAAGTATATCCCACATATTGCATGAGACATACTCATACTAGAAAAATTATTCATTGTTTATCTGAAATTGAGGTTTAACTTAAGTTTATCTTTATTTTTATTTGCTGGAACAGGCAACCCTACCCCTAGGCCATAGTCTAATTTTGAGAAATCACAGGAATAAAAGACCCTTCAGGAAAACAACCATTTGCCTGAGACACAAAAGAAGGGGAAGAAAAACCCTCCTTTGCTGTTGAGGAATCCCTGTGCCTTGGGGTTTTAAGGCTTAGACATCGGAAGAGGGAGAAGTAGGATCTAATACGGCCCCTCCGAACAGCTGCTCATGTTTAGATTAGCGTTAATATTATCTAATTCAAGGAAAAAGAGCCAGAACTGTTGTTTACAATAACCATAAGGTAGTTGTGGTCCAGCAGACGCATTTCGGGCTGCTTTGATTAATTCCTCTTTTATTAGGAGCAGAAGTCCTTAGGGCCGCTTCCCACTTTAGAGTTTAGAAACAACCAGCTCTTGCTCTCCGGTGCTCCTGAGCCCTAACCACGCGGCATCCGTATCCCGGCCTCGGACATTGCACCTTGATGAACTCAAGTTTGAAAAACTCAGGAGACCCAGTGTAGACATCTCCTGTGACACCTCCACATCTCCTATGCTGAAGGCTTGCCTTTCTTTGGTCTTTTCTGGGGGCTTCGCAGCACCGACAGGGTTTCCTGGAAGACAGGTAAACTCGTTTCGGAGAAATACTGTTGTTGTTCTGTGTAATAATGACACTTTTATCTGCTTGCATACGTAAGGACATAACGAATCTTTCTGTTACTCTGCACCAAAGACTGAGTTGTTTGTGAGACTGTTGTGCTGAAAAGACTGAACGGTGTCACCTGGGCCATCCTCTGTATCTGGAGACGGACCATTCGAGTCCTACCAGCAGAAGTCGATTTTCTTTAAACCTTGCTTAAATCAAAAAATCCAATTGTACTCAGGTTGTTGAAGCCACAGTAAAGTATTTTATGGTTAGTGGTGTAGGGAAACGGGTTCAAATGCAGGCTTTGCCACATACCAGCTGTGTGGCCTTGGGCAATCCAGTTAACCACGCTGTGCTTCAGTTTCCTCGACAGTAAAATAGGGTCTGGTGAGGATGAAGTGAGCTAACGTAGGTAAAGTTCTTAGAACAGTGCCCGGCACAAAGACAAGATCCACAAGGGTTAGTGATGATTGGTATTTTACACTACTGAGGGGCGTGTAAACAATCTCGATATTTCCAGAAGACAGTACAGCAACGTGCATCAGGAACCTTAAAGCTGTGCTTGCCATCTGACACGATGATTCCAGTGTTGAGAAGAACTGGAGATGCAGGCACACACATAGACACAAAAACACACTGCGGTGTGATTTATCGCAGCCAGATACCCGGAGCAGCCCAACACCAGGTCCAACACCAGGGAACTTGTTAGACAAACAGAAGTATATCAATTTGATAGACTATTTGCACAGTCACTAAATATCATGTTTTGAAAGAATACTTATTTAATGTCACGGGAAATGATTATGATTAACTAGAAAAAGGAGAAAGCATAATAAAACATAATTTTCTTTTATTACATAACCTACAATGACAGACTGTGGTTATAGCTGCAAGGCGGGGACTATTGGCCATGTGCTTGTCTTTTTAGACAGTTAGATTAATGGTCAGTGGGAGAATCCTCGAAAAAGGACATATGTATATTCAGTCTAACGGAGCAGATGGGAGAAGCGCAGATGCCTACACAGATCATACTAACATGCTCATGCATCCAAGGGAGGTTACAAGTAAAGGTACAGAGAGACAGCATGATGTGCTGAAAGTGACTCTGAGACTCTGGCCCGGCTCATGGGAAAATGTGCTGTGATCAATTAGTGATGTCTGCCGTGGACTCAGGAGAGTATGCTGGCAGCATGTGCAACATATATTTGCCATCCTTGACACCAGTGATAAAGGTGGCCAATGAATGGTGGCAAGGAATGGTGGATTTATCCAAGAAAAATTTCAAGGAAGTTTCCAGAGTCTTAATGAAACTGGACTAGAAACTTTAACTTGCAAATATATAAGGTGTCACACCAAAAAACGGGCAGCAGCCAGCAAAGCATTCATTGGATAAGGAAGAAACACCAGAGAGCCAAGTAGGTCAGACTTGAGATAGAAAGCGGAGGATTAGACCACATAATTCACTCCCTTTGTTGGAGGTCATGAAAAGCCAGGGCCTGGGGGGATCATGGTCGGGCCGAAGGAGGGTGCTGACACCAAGAGTCAAAACAAGGATTACCAAGCACTGGGAGCATTTCATCTCCCAACTCCCTCATCTGGTAGGAACTGTGGTTCCTCTTTCACCCAGGAGGAAACTGAAGCGCAACGATTCCAGGATCACACAGCTAGAATTTGCAGAGCTCTCTTTAATCGTAGGTCTGTCGGATGCCAAGGACTGGAGGTCTGTGCAGCCCCCAGCACAATTCTCTCTGATGGTGCGGTGAAACCTGCTACCGTGGGTTATGGGCGGATTTTGCCATAAGGTAAAACCCAAGGAAGAAATCAGAGATCCAAAGATTCCCGGCTTGACTCTTTCTCCAATTTGCTCTCACGTTGTGTTTCCTTATCAGTCTTATCTGATCTGGCCAAATCAATTAATAATCAATAATTTTCAAATAGCCAAACACTGAGCTAAATAGTCATCTCCCTGGATCTTCACAACCCTCCTAGGTGGTAGGTACTATCACTGTGCCCATTTTGCAGGTGAGGAAAATGAGGCTTATGAGAGTCTTTTGTGAAATGCCAAGGGTGCATTGATGGTAAAGGGCACCCTCTGAGGCTCTTGTCTTCCAGCAGGGGAGGTGAAGTGTGTGCGGAGAATGTCAGAGCGAGAGAGAGCCTTCTGTGCCCACAGGTGCTAACCAAGCCCAGGATAGACCTGAGAGCTGGCCCAGGTCCAGGTTTTCTCACTGTGGATGCAGGAGCAGGGTCGCCAGAGACCAAATCCAATTGGGTCAACACAGCCTCTGGAGAGCAAGCGCTCTTGCTTTTGCGCCGTGTCAGCCAGGGTTTCATATGCCTCGAGGACTAAGAAGTTCTGCAGAGAGGCCAAGTGCAGAAATCTGTGCCTGAGATTTTCTACTTTTACAAGAAGAATGACCATGTGGGGCACTCAGCCAAGGTCAACCTGGAATTGGAAGGCTGAGCCCAGGCTCAGAGGAGCCAGAGCCAAGGTGGAAAGCTCCAGGCGCTGGGAGGGCAGGCACGGGGCGGCCGGAGTAAAAGGCCAAGTGTGGGAATGTTATTGAAAAGAACGTGCTGGGGAGAGCCCAGCCCTCACACCTCGGGGATTTGGGAACTGGCCGTCTGCAGTCGAGAGCCTTGCCAGATGAGTTCAGCCATTTCCACTTCATAAAGTTCTTGGGACAAAAATGAATGGCAAACCCAGTCATGACTGTGATTTCTGAAAGGAGATTATTGAAAAGGTGGTTCTGCTTTTTCAGATTTCTATTCTGGTGGTCAGGAGGAGGGCAGAAGGGAGAAAAATTCCTGGACGCTTGCGAACATCCCCGCTGCCTTCCAGAAACCACTATGCCCTAGTGGCAGGACAGAGGGCACTATATCTTCTAAGATTTCTCAGGAGAAGGAGAGGACTAAAGTCTGAGCCCAAATGAACCCAAAGCCTGGATCTGCTTGCCAGAAGAGAGTGGAAGAATGACACGGAGAGTAACGGGGTCGAGTCATACGTTTATGTCCTCACACACTGACCCCGAAATAACATGACCCCAGATTGCCCTCTGGGTGACAGCACTTCAAGGCGTACATTAGCCAGGCAGCTCGAGGAAGAGACACACTGATTACATATCGAATTTGCTGTCACTATCCTCATGACATCACACATGTCACTGTGGTTTTCCGGATGTCTCTTGTCTCTGAATCCTCGAATCTATTTTCCCCGATGAGTCACTTTGAATTTTTTCTTGGCATTAGTTCCATTTTCTTACTTCCTGTTGGCATCACTTCTTAGAACTTTACTGGTATTTTTGGTGTCCCCAAATTCCCAAATGAACAGGAGCTTTTTCTAGACTAGAGAGTCTTCTGGCCTTTCTCCTGATCACTCAAAATGATATCAAACCTCACCAAACTGTTTGGCGTTGCTGCTTCTGGATATATATAGCCCAGCTTTTCCCCCTTGATCTTTTCCACTGGGTTCAGGGCTGGGATAAAGTGAAGTCATCACAATTGCTCTTTCAAGCTCAAGGAATCTGATAAATGAAGTTGTGTGGGGTCCTGGCAGGCAATGGGCTTGAGCAAAGTACAGTGACCATGTGTGGACCAGTCTCCTTATCCCTTTATTCTAGGCACATATTCAAGTTCAAATTGCTTTGTTAAACTTTCGTGTGTGTGTCTCCTTTTTTACATTTCAGCTTTATACAATTATTCCCAAATTTTCCGAGCTGACAGTGAGGGAGAGTAATTTGAAAGGACTGCTCAACTTAAGTCTTTTGAAGATTTGCACCATAGCTGCATTTTTCTAATTTCCTGGCATCTACTCTGTTCTCCTGGACTTTTCAAAAACAAATGAAAGTGGATGAATAAATATAATAACTGATTCCATCAATAGTCTTGGACCATCCGTTGGACTTTCTGTTTTTAGACATTTTAGATTTTAAAAATCTTTTAGCATCTATCTACATTTCCAAAAGAAGGATACAGTGCGTGTTCTCAAAGATCTCATGATCTAATTAAGGACGAGCAAGAGGTACAGATGCACACGTTGTTTCTAAATGTAGACGATAATGTCTGGAGGAAAGAGGAAAGTGAGTTAATTAACAATCCTTACGTTTATAATTACAGAATTGATTTTGTCCACTTTATCAGCTTAGGAAACAAAATAAAGTCATATTTTTTAAATTTTTTCAAATAAAATGTCCTGTCTTGCTATATAGAGAGCAACTTTTTTTTTTTTCCTCCCTGATATCCTTTCCCCTCTGGTGATAAATACAAGAAGCGAAGGTCAGCTCTGATCCTGATAGCTCCCGTGTGATTTGGTTTAATCAGCAGAGGAGATGGTGGCTCTTGAACTGCTAAAGGCATCTCACTGCCTCACGGCCTCACTGGCCACCCAGAGTTTGCTGCAGTGAGTGCCCAAGACGCACGTCGTCATCTCTGGTGGCACTGGAGCTGGGGTATTCTCCTTTGAAGTGGCAGTTCTTTCTGCCACTAACCCCCAAAAGCTTAGGGGGCTCAAGTGCTGCTTTTATAAGCCAAAACCTTTTTCCTTCTGCCAGGGAAAGCCAGATCTGCTCCTTGTTTTGCCTGGAATTGCACTGAATTAACAGGTTAATTTGGGGGGAATTGACATCTTTTCAGTACTGAAAACTCAATATTGAAAGAACCCATTGAAGAACATGAGAAGACTCTCAATTTATTCAGTGTTTCTAGTGTGGCCTTTAGTAAAGTATAATAATTTTCTTCATGAAGGGCTTACCTATTTACTGTTAGATTTGTTCCTATGTACTTCACAGTTTTTGCTGCTTCTGTGAATGGCGTCTTTCTTGCTTTTACATTTCTAATTGAGCACCACTGTGCATCAGATCTCTTATATCTGACTACCTTGCTGGACTATTTTGTTAGTGTTAATGGTTTTTCACTTGAGCTTTTTGTATTTTCTAGATAGTGTTGTCTTCATTTCCAATCTTGATATATTTCTTTTTCTTATTTTATTGCAATGGCTAGGACTTTCCCCGTTGTGTTGCATACCAGCGGTGATGGCTGGTATCATTGTCTCACTTCTGCATTCAGGGGTCTGCTTTAGTATTTCACCAGTAAACACAGTGTTTGTTGTAGTTTTATGGTAGATACTCCCTATGGAGCTTAAAAAAGAGAGAGATTTTTATATGCCAAGTTTGTTAAGATTTCTTACCAGGAAAGATGTTGAATTTCATCAAATGCAAAATCTCATGAAGCACAAGGTTTCCATAACAATTAGCGATAATTCAGAATAAAGCTTATCTTACCTCAGCTTTTTTTCTTTTACAACCTTTGCAAATTGATCAATTTCATAGCAAAATATCTATAAATAAATGTCCTTCTTGGGAAGAGTGGACTATTTTTTATCATGATGGGACCCCATTTTGAGAGTTGCTAACAGGGCATGACGTATGACGTGAATCATTGCTCTAAATGAAATCCCTGATAACAGGAGAATATTTTTTAAATAATCAAAATTGTGAGTACTAAAATCCAAATCAGAAGTGTCATTTCATGCTCTGATGAAGAGAAGAAAACTTCAAATCCTACTTTTATAAATCTAACAATTTCCTCACATTCCGAATCTTAAAATCCTTCTTTGGGGCCAGCCCGCTGGCACAGCGGTTAAGTTCGCACGTTCCACTTCGGCAGCCTGGGGCTCGCCAGTTCAGATCCCAGGTCTAGATCTACGCACCACTTGTCAAGCCATGCTGTGGCAGGCCTCCCACATATAAAGTAGAGGAAGGTGGGCACAGATGTTAGCTCAGGGCCAGTCTTCCTCAGCAAAAAGAGGAGGATTGGCGGCAGATGTTAGCTCAGGGCTAATCTTCCTCAAAAAAAAAAAACAACCCTTCCTCCTTTTGCAGTATATCTGGTCTCCCTCACACTCCTAACTCCCCCGTCCCAGCCTCAAAAAAGGACCAGCTTGAGAGAAAGAGTACTTCTCCCTCATACCAGGAATCATACTTCACTGAAAACAAACAATTGGTAGAAATCCAAAACCAACAGGGATGGAACACTCAACAGCTTTGCCTTTCATGTGGAGAAGAGGGAAATAGGCTGTTATAGAATGAGAACCAATCTTAGCCGATGTCTGGAAATGTCAAAACGATTAACGTGAAATACTAAACTCATGTGAGTGCTCTAACGGTGTGACTCCTGAATTCTCCCTGTCCCATATTGCACACCAGGAGTAAGAAAACAGTCCTGGGTGTTTCACAATAGCACCCTCTTCACAGCTGACCTCATGTGCTTTCCAAAGTCCCTAATTCTGCCACTTTCAGCATCCCTGTCTCTGTGGATTTATGATGTGTTACCAATATTATTACTTTCCCTGCTTCCACCCCTTCCACCCCCAATATTTTAGGCATTGTAAGTAACACATTTCCACATAAGGGCGCTGAAAAGCCAAGAAGCAGAATATCTCAGCAAGAGGAGCTACAGGAGGCTCCCCTCACCTTCTAAGCTGGTGCCTGGGAGGCTCCTAGGCAACTGAGAAAGACGGAATGGAGGGAACAAGGGTATCCCAAGGGAGGAAAAGGATGCTTAAGGGAGGAGATTGGCCCCCATTTCCAAAAATGGTGACAGCTGGGCCAGCTCTGGGAGCAAGGGAACTCTTCCCACTTTGCAGGGGCACACTTGCTTCCATGAGCAGGAACCGAATGCCCATACCTCTGGGCCTGTGGGAAACTCGGTGGCTTGGAAAAGTTGTATTCGTACATGCCATCAGCATGAGAACCCGTACACTGGGGAAGCAGCCAGTCCTTCTAGTCCACTATCACTTTTGTGAGAAGTGAAACACTGACTGATTATGACGTGACTCTTCGTGACAAATCTCTCTGACTCTTCTGGGATAGAAGTACTGTTGTTATCCTTGCATCTCTCTGATTATCTAAGCATGGGGCTCTTTCACTCTCTTCAGATTAAATAAGTACTTGTTGACTGACTGATTATTCCTCCTTTACCGATAACACAAAGCAAAAGGAAGGCAAATAATGACTGCTGGGATAATCCTCTGCTCTCACCTGTTAGATACTTTCGGCCAAAAACCTTCCCCCTGCCTGCGCCAGGTTGCGGCCTTTCTAGTAGGTACTGTGGTGCTCCGCCCAGACTGCCGTCCACCTCCTTTAGGACCAAAGCTCTCAACCCCCCAGCTGCCAGGAGGGTTGGATGCTGACAGTTCACCACTGAGACGCTCCCCAGGACTTGCCCTTGGCTAAAGAGAGCTGCCTCACCCAAGGTTACAATGCCTCTTTGAAGCCAGCCCACATCCAATGCCTGGTCAATGGGCGGGTACAAAGGTCTGGCTCCCTTGCCTCCCTGGAGACAAGTGCGAGGGTCCAGCCCAGCTCCAGGGCTCCCCAGGGGATCCCCTGAGTTCTCTGGTGCAAGATACATTGCTATTCAACTTCTGTCTTTGCCCCATTCTGCTTCTCCCGCTCCCTCACAGGTATTGGTCCCACGAACGCTCTCCAGTGTTCACCTGCACACAAACCTCCATCTCAGAATCTGTGTCCCAGGGAACTAAACATAAGCCCCTTCCCCCCCCCCCCCCCCCCCCCCCCGTAAGTCAGTGCTCCGCTCTCTCTCTAAATCTCAGGTCCCTCATTCGTAGGAGACGGCTTCAGTAGCAACGGGGGAAATGTCACAGTGCCTTTCATCCCATCCTTTCCTCTTTTAAATCAGCAAGATGAAGAAAATGGGTTCCAGTAAAGTGCTTTTGTGACTTTATTATTAGACTATTTGAAGCCCTCTCTGTTTTCTTCCTCTTCCTCGCCCCCTCATACCACTACAGTACTCTTCTGCCTCCTCGTTTTCTTCTTACTGTTCTGTTTCCTCCTCCTTCTCCTTCCTCCTTCATTTTAGCGAGGAAAGACTT